CAAATTCTCCACCATGCCTCTGTATTTATACCCTCTGGTTTTCATGGCTCGCCACTGGATCCTCCTGTTTACTACCTGTCTGTGTTCCATTACCTTCTGTAAGTTACCAGCTTTATTATTATTAAAGATACTTCTACTCACTTCTACTACTATAGACAGACAGACAGATGGACAGACAGACAGATATTGTTTTATGGCACAAAGTTCTGCAACACAACATCTGAACAACATTGCAGAGCATCAGGATACCCTGATTCTGAGAAGTGGGACCCTGAGAAAGCTGCAGTCGCTGTTGTTGTGACTATGAATCTGAAAATATTTAATATTTAATATTAATATTTTATCAAATAATATTTCGGTCTGTTAAGGGTTGTCCTGTGAATACCAGCCCAGTAAGGCGGTGGTATTAGGACAAAATAGAAAGGTGTGAGCCAAGCTCTGACATTATTGAACAGCATAAACTCTGCACACACATGGAATGAATTCACACAATTTCTTAAAATACAAGAATTTATTAACAAAAATAAGTCAACTCAAAGTCAAACATATTTCAATCAACAAACGCTTCACTATGCTAAAACAATCCAACTAAACTACCAAGCAGAATTAAAGAAATTAAAGAATAAGGAAGACTAATGGGCTATGTACAATATAAACAAGTTGATTAAAGATAATTGAAAATCATGACCAAAAGAGTGATGCAACATTACCATGCAATGTTTATGTTTGAGAACCAAGGATTATCTTGAAGAATCTGGAAGTGAAGTTAAGTCAGTCTTGGAACCAACCTAGGCAGTAATCAGCATACCTTTAGACAACCATTTACAATGCAAGATCAGATAAAAGATTATTTTCATAAAATAATGTTTTAAAGAATGATCTGCTGAATAAAACCAACCTTCTGGATGACTAATTCTCAACGGTGTCTCATTAGCTGCCTTTGTTTATTAAAATAATATTTAAAGAAATATTATTAAGGAAATGGTAAAATATTTAAGGAAATATTTTGGAGAAGAGAAATATTTCTGGAGAAATGGGGTTTAATGGTGTTTACTTAGTTATCAAGTTTAGTAAAATAATGTTTAGGGAACTATTATTTACTGGATTGAAAACTAACAACCTTTCTGGGTAGATGATCTTTAGTAGTAAGCGCATGTTCTTAGCCGTTACCAGTTGAAGCTAACAAAAGAAGCTGATAGCTTAGCACCAGAATCAAACACACACCTTTAAAAATACTGTCAATAAAAGGGTTAAAATGCATGAGCGCGGATGGCGCGTTATGGTCAATCTTCTGTGTTTAAAATCACCCTTTAAATAAAGTTTGTCTTAACTTTAAAAACACACAAACACAGAACACAAAACTGAGCATGTGGTGAGCAGATAGCCTGCTAGCACCAAGATAGCTGAGTTCAACACAAACAAAACCAAACTTCATAAAATGAAAAACGTTTAGATAATTTCATCCTAAATCTCTCTGCCCAAACCTAACCTCATATGTGAACCGTGCTGAGGAGAAGTGTCCGGGCGGCGACGAAGTTTGAAGAAACTCTGTGAACAAAAGGTTAGCTACAGCTAACCTCCGGAGCTGTGGCTGGGCGGCTCGCTCTGTCTGCTGACCACACTGCACGTTAACTGCCGTAACCACGGTGATGTGGTGACGTTGTCCTCCTTTCAGAAACTGCTCTACTCGGCGTCGTGCTGAGAACTCTCTCTAGAAACAGTTAATCTCTAAATCTCAGAGAGAAAAGTTGAGCCACGCTTGTACCTTAATTATCCACTTTTATGAATGAATACCAGATTCTTTCAACAGTAATTCATTTGTACTTAACTCAGTGAATATGATCGATGATCGTATGACACTCTCGGATCCAGTTGAAGAGTTATGTCTGTTTGCCAGCAAAGAGACATTAGCGCGCTGTCTCTCCTGCCAGCCTCGCAGCGAAGTCCGGATGGAAGAGATCAAACCATTGGAAAGGTGGGGTTTTATACGGGCAGTGGCATCATGGGAAGTCTGCTGCCGGGCTGTGCGGGAAGTAGGTTAAGTGCAATTTATTTTGAAAGTTCCAGAAAAGTTTGTACCGCATCTTTTATGTTGTATCCATGGCTGTGGGTCCCAACACTGTGCAGTCAAATGCAAAAAGACCAGCTGTCTGTGTGAAGTTACCAAAGATGCTGACTCTTACTGCAGTAGTGTGCAAGAACAAATTAAACATGGCACAATCTCAGATAGATTAATTTATCTTTTTAATTATGTTAGATTTTTTTAGGTCTAATGGGATTGCAGTTGCCACAGAGTGCATTCTAAATTACCAGACCTAAATGGGAAGAGACAAGGTAAGAATTAGTCTTTCATTTGAAACCTGTCTTCCCTCCTCTACCACCATGCTCTGTATGCAGCGTGCGTGATTGGAACTATTCACTCAGACAGGGTGTCAGAAATCACACTATCACGTGGCATGTCAATCCTCAGCTCCAAAAATATTATTTGACTCCTGAGAGGATTTCCTTCAGTCAAACAACAGATAAATTACAAGGAAAAACTGAGCAGCCAGGATGTGTCATTTAGAAAAACAGAAACAGATGAAAAACATCAGTCTAGGAATTAAGCTCTTTAGCTACGAGAACAAAATGACTTTAGTCTCTGAGGCTTCTAGTATTTATTATTTGCCTACATAAAATCATCTTTAAAACTATATAGGAGGCTATTTTTATCCTTCTGTTTTTGTAGTGTTCATTTACCTTATAATACTTTTTCATATTTTCAAATGTGTTTTATCAGGATTTCATGTAACAGACCAACATAGTAGCACATAACTGTGAATTGGAAGGAAAATAATAGCCCACATAATTTTTTTTGACATTTTCTACTAATAAAAATCTCAACAGTGTTGTGGGCATTTGTGTTCACCCTCTTTACGCTGATACTCCTACAAAATTCAGTATGAACAAATGCCTTTTGTACAGTAGTTAACTAATTTAGTCTCACTAAAATTACAGCTGTTCTGGTAAAGCTTCCGATGTTTGTTATAGAACATTAGAAAATAATCAAATAAGGACCAAGGAACACACCAGAATTGTCAGGGATAAAGACAGACCTGAAAACGTACCAATACCTGGCTGTCCACCTAAAGTGACTGGCTGGGCAAAGACAGCATTAATCAGAGAAGCATAGTAATTCAGGTGGGAGAATTTGTTGATAGGACAGCTATAAAAGTAATTGTCGGGCCCCTTTCAAGTTATACTTGTTATCTTGAGAAATTCACTACTACTGCTCACCTCTCACATCTGTCTGTGGTTCCATTGATGAATATCCAGTAAAAAACAGTCTCAAAAAGACCATGTGACTTCAACCAAAGGGTATAAATTTCATTTTTTCATTTCATACATTGTTTCCGACTGACAAACTATTTTAAGTTTGCAGTTAGTTTATTTGAAGTTGTTGATATGATGTGTTACATTGCGTTTGTCTATCATATAACATCCCCATGTTGGGCTCTTCCATTTTGGTCGGATAGACCGACTGGGATGCGCAGTTCGACATTCGCAGCTCAGCCTTTGTTTCAGTGATGGACATCAAAGCTGACGTCATCAGAGCTATAAAACCCACGGAAACCAAACTTTTATTGCCATTTCTAGCATCTCACGGGACAACGCAACATAGGCGCATACCTGGAGCGACAGAAACTCGCAAGCGAGTAACTTTTTTCCTCCACACAGCCATTCTCGGAAGAATGTGAAAGCTGGAATTCTGTCTGATACAAGAAGGTCAGAAGATACCGATCGGAGACCCGCACCAACACTCCGCCGCAGGTGAAAACCCACAGAGGTTTTATTTCCAAGGAGATGAATCTTCCTCCTTGTTGATTCAGTCGACTGCAATAGTTCCTCATATTTTCCCGTGTTGGATGGATCAGAAGTTTACAATTTTTTAGTTGATCACGAACGCGTGTCACTCTGGTTCACACCCTCCCTTTTCTTCAGACCTACCCATCCTCAACCGGTGAAGAAGAAGAAATCAAAGTCAAAGTAATTTCGTTCCTTTCTTTTTATATTAAATTGGATCGGTGTATTTGGAGGTCTGGGCAGGGTGAGGCATAGTTTAAGGTGATTTAGAATCACCAGTAGTTAATCCAAGGTATAAACTTGTTGCATGCAATACTGATTGAAGTGTTTTATGCTGAGTGTTTGATTTGCTGTACAAGTTTAGCTTCATGGCGGAGCACGGATGCGATATGCAAGATGCGTGTATTTTTGGTCTGGCTGATCCCAAATCAGCAAGGAGACTTTTAAAGTTTTTCATTCAAAGCAGCTGCGGTCTGGGCCTCATGGCCTGACCACTCCTTTGTCCCAGTTTTATTACTGGAGTTTTTCCACTGAGTTCCCGCCTCAGAGTTTTATGGCGCTTTGTTCGAGATTTGGGGCATTCAGCTGCTAGTGAATAAGGGCGCAGCCCACTGTCTACCAGCTGATCGCAGCAATCAAGACATCAGCACACCAGGAGGGCTTCTCTTTCCAAGTAAACCCAAATTGCACATTTTGTCCATAAAACTACTGGTTTGATCTTCATAGACACTCAATGTGCATACATTTTCTTTTATAATTATTGTTAGGTAGTCATTTGTATCCCCTCTGTGTAGAATAGTGCTTGTTAGGTGAAGGTTTTTGGACCAGAGTAGTAATTACATCATGGTATGGCTTCAATAAATTTTCACACATTATATATATATATATCAGTCAGTCAGACATTTTCTACTACTTATTCCATAGTGGGTCGCGGGGGAGCTGGTGCCTATCTCCAGCAGTTTATGGGCGGGTACACCCTGGACAGGTCGCCAGTCCATCGCAGGGCAACACACAAACAACCATGCACACACTCATTCATACATCTAAGGGCAATTTAGAGTGACCAATTAACCTAACAGGCATGTCTCTGGAGTGTGGGACGAAGCCGGAGTACCCGGTGAGAACCCACGCATGCACGGGGAGAACATGCAAACCCCATGCAGAAAGACCCCCGGCCGGGAATCGAACCCAGGACCCTCTGGCTGCAAGGAGGCAACAGTGCTACCAGCTGCGCTACCGTGCATATATATATATATGGTCAAAGTTCCTCCGCCAATTGGTGAAGCGGTTGATTAAACAGTGACATTTAGCGTGGTTTTGGTTAATAACAATCAATTATTAATGATAATTAACTAATTGTAATTATTAAGTGCTCTGAACCCATAATCACAACGCCAGAGGACATCTCTGATTTCTATATGCAAGCAATGGTTTTTGAAAACTATTTTGCTGAATTATGATTTTTTATTATCATTTTTGATAAATATTCCTTAATCAATAATCATAATCCATACACCTATAAAATACATTGAAGTGGCAATGTAGCAAATTGTAAAAAAAAGCTTCGTTGGTGAGAATACTTTTACAAGACACTATTTCTAGGGTTTTAACATCATCAGCGCGCTGTGTTGTTTTTCTTGTATTGTGGTTGGCTAAAACCTTCAGTTAAAACCCAAACTCAGTTGTTGTGCTCTGCGCCTGAGTTTGTGTGTAGGTGGAGCTGCATATGTGAACATAGCACATGTGTTCTGAGTGGGAGCAGGGCCACAACTGGGGTCTCGCTTCATCTCTGGACTCTGTCTTCATGCCTTTTTCCACATCTCATTACTAATTCTCTGCTTACAGTCAGTGCAAAATGCATTTACAAATATTCAGCGTCTTATCATATTTTACCATTGTTTTACTGTTGACAGTTAATAGCTCAAACTGTGAGAACCAAATAATCAACAGATACAGAAAAGTGGATCTGTACAAGTTACATTTTGAGATCACCTTAAACCTGCAGGATAATCCCTGGGTGTGTGACAGATACATCGGGGGAAATAACAGGCCAGCTGAGTGACATTTGAACTCTAAATCTTTGCTAAGCAATCATATTTCTAGAATTGCGCCGCTCAAGGTTTTCATCCATATGATGTACCCAGAGAGTTCACCAGGGTATTTTTGGCAACAATTTACGTTTCACCTTTAGTTGTTGCCGACACTGCATGTGATGCCATCACCTAAGTTGTTGCTAAGCTACAGACACAACACCCCAATGCGTTTGTGGCATTATCTGATGATTTTAACTATGCTTCACTCTCTGCTACACTTCCCACATTTCAACAGTTTGTCAGCTACTCTACCAGAGAAAACAAAACGTTGGATTTGTTTTATGCAAATGTCAAGGACTCATACATCTCTAAACCAAGACCTCCTCTTGGCAAATCAGATCATGATGTCGTTTTTCTCTGCTCGAAATATAAACCCCTTGTTCAGAGACAACCTGTAATATAGATGACTGTGAGAAGATGGTCACAGGAAGCTAAAGAAGCCCTGCGAGGTTGCTTTGAGGCAACAGACTGGGATGCACTGTGCCAGCCACATGGAGTGGACATCAATGCCATCACTGAGTGTGTGTCCAAACTTCTGTATGGATAACACCATCCCCACCCGAACAATAAGATGCTTCCCCATTAACAAACCCTGGATCACCAGTGACCGGCAGGGCCTGCTTAACAAGAAAAAAAATGCCTCCAGAGAGGAAGACATGGAATTATTGAGTAATATACAGAAGCAACTTAAAGTCAAAATAAGAGACAGCAAGGAGGTGTACAGGAAGAAGCTGGAGAGCAAGCTCCAGCAAAACAATATCAGAGATGTGTGGTAAGGGATTAGGAAGATCAGAAGGATGATGGGATCAATGGATGTCTGGACAGAGCCAGTGAACTAAACATATTCTTCAGTAGGTTCAGTTCTGAAAAAAGCTCAGCACCCTCCTCTCGTGCTCACGGCCAAACAGACATCCCATCCTCCTTTGACCCACAGCTTTCCTGTCACACCTGAAATGTTTTATCTTCCACTTCAGCCATGGACCCTTCTGCTTCTACATGTTTGCCTTCAACCAAATCAGAGGATCCTGATGCTCCCTTTGCCTCCCCCTTCCACCTGTGTCGTAAGATGTCAGGAGAATAGACAACTGGAGACTGAACTGGAATAAGGCTGCAGGTCCAGATTGTGTCAGCCCTAGAGTCCTGAAGGCCTGTGCAGAGCAGCTCTGTGGGATTCTGCAGCACCTCTTCAACCTTAGCCTGGCCCAGAAGGTTCAAGTGTTATGGAAGACCTGTCTTGTTCTGGTACCACTGAAAACTCACCCATCAGTGCTCAGTGACTATAACCTTTTGTCCTGACATTCCACATGATGAAGGTCCTAGAGAGACTCCTGTTGGCCCACCTGAGTAAGCAAACAATAAACTATCAAGACCCCCTTAGTTTGCTTATCGCTGTGGAGTTGGAGTTGAAGATGCCATCATACACCTGCTTCAACAAACCCACTGTCATCTGAACAAAGCCAGCAGCACTGTGAGGATCGTGTTCTTTGATTTTTCCAGTGCATTTAACACAGTTCAACCTGATTTGCTCTGTCAGAATTTCCAGAAGACTCAGGTAGAGGCCTCAATAATCTCCTGGATCAAAGACTACCTGACAAACAGACCACAGTTTGTGAGACTGAAGGGTCGTGTGTCTAACTAGGTAGTTAGCAGCACAAGAGCCCTACAGGGGACTGTGCTTTCACCATTCCGTTTCACTCTGTGCACCTCAGACTTCCAGTACAAGACAGACTCCTGTCATCTGCAGAAATACTCGGATGATTCTGCAGCCGTAGGGTGGATCAGAGAAGGACAAGAAGCTGAGTACAGGGAGCTGGTGGACCGCTTTGTGGCATGGTGTAGAAAGAAAGGAGATGATTGTAGATTTTAAGAGAAACAGGAATAGGTCAAACACTATTTCCATCATGGGAGAAGAAGTGGAGGGGGAGGAGGTAAAATATCTCGGTCTTCACCTGGACAATTCAATTCAGTTCAATTCACAACACATGTCTCAAGGCACTTCACTAAAGTCAGTTAAATACATTCCAATTAATCCTAATCATTGAACAGTGCAGTCAGATTCAGTCATTTATTCAAATTGGATAAAAAGTTTTTCTATCTAAGGAAACCCAGCAGATTGGATTGAGTCAGAGACTTGTAGCAGTCACTCCTCCTGGATGAGCATGTAGTGACAGTGGACAGTGACTGGCGTTGACTTTGCAGCAATCCCTCATACTGAGCATGCATGTAGCGACAGTGGAGAGAAAAACTCCCTTTTTACAGGAAGAACCCTCCGCCAGAACCAGGCTCAGTGTGAGCGGCCATCTGCCACGACCGACTGGGGGGTTTGAGAGAACAGAGCAGAGACACAAAAAGAACATAGAAGCGCTGATCCAGGAGTACTTTCTACACTACGTAAATGTAAATGTTAATGGATGTAGCTCCTTTAGTCGTTTCATCTAGAAAGAAAGAACAGATAAACTCTGAGCCAGTTTTCAAGGTTAGAGTCTGAAAGAGAGCACATATAATTAGTTGCAGTAAAAGCTCAGTCAATTGCTACGTCTAGGAGAGAGAAAGGGTTAAACACTGAAAGACAGGGCCATGTGGATCATCGGTAGAGGGTGAGCATTAAGTTGTTGCCAGCAGAAGCTTGGACAATGCCCCTCTCCAGAAAGGTGTCACAGGTAGACACAGAGTCAGGCCAGGTGTATCTCCTAGGAAGAGAAAAGAGAGAGAACAAGAAGTTAAAAACTAAAATAACAGCAAATAATGCAAAATTGGAGAGTAGTGTGATAATGTAGCGAAGAGAGTGAAAGTGGTCATTATGTCCTCCAGCAGCCTAAGCCTATAGCAGCATAACTACAGAGATAGCTCAGGATAACCTAAGCCACTCGAACTATAAGCTCTATCAAAAAGGAAAGTTTTGAGCCAAGCCTTAAAAGTAGACAGGGTGTCTGCCTCACGGACTAAAACTGGGAGCTGGTTCCACAGGAGAGGAGCCTGATAACTAAAGGATCTGCCTCCCATTCTACTTCTAGAGACTCTAGGAACCACCAGTAAACCTGCAGTCTGAGAACAAAGTGCTCTGTTAGGAATATATGGAACAATCAGATCTCTGATGTATGATGGAGCTAGATCATTAAGGGCTTTATATGTGAGGAGGAGAATTTTAAATTCTATTCTGGATTTAACAGGGAGCCAATGAAGGGAAGCTAAAATAGGAGAAATATGATCTCTCTTTTTAATTTTCATCAGAACTCTTGCTGCAGCATTTTGGATCAGCTGAAGGCCTTTAACTGCATTTTGTGGACATCCTGATAATAAGGAATTACAATAGTCCAGCCTTGAAGTAACAACTACATGGACCAGTTTTTCAGCGTCACTCCTGGACAGGATATTTCTAATTTTGACAATGTTCCGTAGGTGAAAGAAGGAAATCCTAGAAATCTGTTTAATATGGGATTTAAATGACATGTCCTGGTCAAAAATAACACCAAGGTTTTTTACTTTATTACCGGAGGTCAATTTAATGCCATCCAGGTTAAGTGATTGACTAAGCAGTTTCTTTTTTAAAGACTCCGGTCCAAAGACGACTACTTCTGTCTTGTCTGAATTTTAAAGCAGAAAATTTAAAGTCATCCAAGTTTTTATGTCTTCAAGACATGCTTGTAGTTTATCTAACTGGTTGGGCTCATCAGGATTTATGGATAAGTAAAGCTGAGTATCATCAGCGTAACAGTGAAAATTTATCCTATGCTGCCTGATAATTTTACCTATTGGAAGCATATATATAGTAAAGAGAATTGGCCCAAGTACTGAACCCTGTGGTACTCCACAATTAACCCTGGAGTTTAAAGATGATTTATAATTTACATGAACAAACTGGAATCTATCAGACAAATATGATTTAAACCAGCCCAGTGCTGTTTCCCCGATCCCTACAGCATATTCCAGCCTTTCAAGAGAATATTGTGATCGACTGTATCAAATGTAGCACTGAGATCTAACACTGATTGATCTGGACAACAGACTGGAGTGGAGATGCAACTGTGAAGCCGTCTACAAAAAGGGACAGAGCAGACTGTATTTCTTGAGGAAGCTTAGGTCCTTTGGTGTTTGCAGCAAGATGCTGCATATCTTCTATAAGTCTGTTGTGGGGAGTGTGATCTCTTCT